CAAACCAAAAGGTTATATACTACTAGTTCAATCACTTACGTTCATAAATAGGCGTCCAAAAAGAAAAAGGCATCTTGCATGTTTTGTTTTAAGTTACTTCAATAATTATTGATTAGTGACTTTGTATGAGTTGATCTCTTACCAATCACTATTTTTATATATAAGACACTATGAAGTTGTAAATAATAGTTAGTGATTAGGAAGACATATAAGATGAGATAACTTCTTGAAGTTTTTATGCATAGGCATCAGAATCAATTGTGTCTTGTGACCATTTTATGTTTGATTTAATTCAAGTATTTTTGCAGTGTTATCTTGTTTCTTTGCTTGGTTCAATATTATCTTGTTTCTTTTCCCAAATTCTCCTTGAATAAAAAAACCAAAGTGTCTTTTTAATAATTACATAAAATATATATTTAAAACACAATTTATCTAATCGGGGTTGTCTTGCACATATGAGCACGCTATATATGCAAGGTGCGGTTCTATGTGGCACTTTGTCACTAGCCACATGATACACTTTCCTCCTATCTCTGGGACGTTAAATTGTTCTTATAACTCTTAGAAATGCACATAAATTACGGTCGGAATGACACCCAATATTTTCTCCTTGAGTTACGATCGCTTGATACAAGTAAGGTCTTGAACAAGAAGAAAGCCTGGATGGAGCATGCTTGACTATGCATATTGCAAAAATCTTCAAAAGCACTTAAGATATACTTAGCGTTAAGTTCAAGTTGAGAAATGGCCACATCAAGTCGGTGAAAGGGAGATGTGCCCTAAGCTTGTATAATAAAGTCTTATGCAGGGAGACAAAGTGAGCATCTTTAACTCGGAGCGTGAAGATTTGGTCCTTTTCATTAAAGGCCACGATCCTTATTCATTTTCCTTTACTATGTTCGAGATAAGGTGGATTTATGACGAGATGGTCAACAACTCTTTTTAGCTTCAGATCGCATTATGGGTCTCCTCAGTGGCTTCAAGGTCCACTTAGCTCAATGACACAATGTAGGGAGGTATATAGTATCGCCCAAGGAAAGTATTCCTTATTATTCTTAGATCTATGCGGAGATACCTAAAGGAAATTTCCAAGTTGGTCGACTTGGTGTCATAATATAATAGAGTCTCCAAGGTTACTGAGTTCCTTTATAATCGTGGACATGGTATGGAGGGTCCTAAATGCGGCCCACACACTATCTATAAACAAAAAACTCTAGGTTCATTCAGGGGTGTACTAGACCTCAAACCCAACACCAGGTGATTCTTAACACCTGAGAGTGATCACCATCGCAACATATGGCACTGTAAAGGTTGAATTGACACTCTACCAGGGTTGCCACGACCCTCATTATGCCATCTAGCCATAAAAAATTGGAGAAGAAAAAAAGATAATTAGTACCATATAAGAAAAAGGAGGAATGAAGGTCCCTGGACTGAGAAATGGCCTTGGAATGCAGCTGCTCTGCACAACAAGTTGTCGAAAAACAAGATAGACTAAAAGAACAATGAGAGTGTAAAAAGAACGAGAAACTTGAAAATAAGGTTTCCATGTGATAACTGCCCCATTTAAAAATACCTAGAAGGCCAAAAGACATGTGATACGAACCTTGGGAGAACCTCATTCCAAAAGCTAACTCATAAGGTAGGAAAACCCAAAATTCATGTAAACCTCACATTAGTCACTCATAAAACGAATATGGGACTCCAAGTCCTATACCTCAGAGTATGATCAAAACATTTCACTACGCTCCGCAGCCCTGGCTCCCACACGGATTGGTTTTGCGCTAGTCTTTAACTAGTCCTGGGCGAACACTGTAATGTCAGCGTCACCACTTGCGCCGCTCGATTGAAGTCAGTAGATATAACGGAAGGCTCTGATACTAATTGATACGAACCTTGAGAAAACCTCACCCCAAAAGTTAGCTCATGAGATAGGAAAGCTCAAAGTACATATAAACTCCACATTAATTACCCATATAACCAATGTGGGACTCCAAGTCTCATACCTTGGAGTAGGATCATAATATTCCATCACACTCCGCAACCTCGGCGCCCGCAAGGGTTAGCTTTGCGCTAGTCTTTTACTAGCCCCGGACTAACATTGCAATGCTAGCGTCACCAAGGTATGGGATTTCCTTTGGAGTAGGATTATAACAACATGGTAAAAAAATATCAATCTCTATCTATGTTTTTAAATGCATAATTAACACTATGATCACCATCATTGCTGCATGAAACTCAAAACATCTAAATCAACGGAGGCAATTCACAGGCTTTTTAATCCTTTTGCCCTTTATTAATTAATTAATAACTATTTTGCCCCTTATTGAAAACTATCTACCAATCTGCCCTTCTTTAATCGATCAAATTGAATATTTAATCGATTAAATGGTCAAAGCTGACAAAAATCGTTAACTTAAAGATTTAATCGATTAAATCTTTAACTTAATCAATTAAATCTTCAAAGATTTCATATGTATCTTCACTCTCCAATGCGGACAAAGTATCCGGTGTATTGTTAGCTGGTTCTCGTGGTTCAATCATACATCTATCAATCATTACTTTTCGTTTTAGATTTATATTCATTATTTACTCCACTTTTAAAAATTAGTTAATGGTGTATTGTTAGCTGTTAGGGGTTTACACTTCACTGAGTAAATATCGTTTTAGTTGAATTTTGTTTCATTGGAGAGTGAAGATACATATGAAATCTTTGAAGATTTAATCGATTAAGTTGAAGATTTAATCGATTAAATCTTCAAGTCAACGATTTTTGTCAGTTTTGACCATTTAATCGATTTAATCGATTAAAGAGGGACAAATTGATAGATAATTTTCAATAAGGGACAAAATGGTTATTAATTAATTAATTAACGAAGGACAAAAAGGTCAAAAAAACCGCAATTCACATGTCACTAAACATTTATCATGAAATGCAAAAATACAACTAAATCAAAAAAGCAAACAATGTCATCTTTTTCACAAAAAAGAAAAAAGAAAAAAGAAAAAGCAAACAATGTAATTCAAACGATAGGATTCCTTAGACACTCCAAAAGAACGATTGATCATAGATAACTCTATGACTATGTTAATCAGGTACAACATCTCTTGGGCAAAACTTACAACTTGGAACTCTAACAAAAGCAAAATAGAGTTGCTGCATGAAACTCAAAACTTCAAGTCCATACTACCAAGCAGACCCCATTTTCAAAACATTAAGAGGGAGATTCCTAAACAAACACATGATTCTAGTAAAAACTATAGTTGTTAGTTAGAGCTTAAATGTTTTTAATTATTCCTACTAGCTCAAATGCCATGATTTAGTTTCAACTCCAACTCATATCAGATTTTGCCAAGACAAAATGTTGGCCTCACCAACGTATTAATCCTCGATCCCTTGAATTAAACAAGTCGATTATTCATATCTCTTATAATCTTAGTATCATGGACAAAACATATCATATATCAAAAGTTGATTTTTCAACATTGATACTAAATAAAAAAACAAACAAAAGATTATTTATTCTATATCTTATTTGACCTAAGACTCCAAGTTAACTTTTGACAACTTCACAATCTATGAAAATTACTTTTGAAAAATATTTCACAGAATAAATCCACGCAAACCTTTCTTTTCTTAGTCAGTCTTCGACATCAAAGACCGTTAATGCTTACATTTCGTTTTTAAGTACAAACGCTTGACTAAAATACATAAGGATAAGGACACATAACTCATGTAACAAAATAAAAAAATATAACTTCAAATATTATTTATCATATAAAAATTTAAAGTAAAAAAAAAAAAAAAACACAGAAGTCACAAGGAAAACACGTGGTTGCAGCCTTAGTCCTTGATGATGATGGAACCCTACTTTACATGACACAAAATGGAGAAAACACAAAAAAGAGAAGCATCCAAACAAACAGGGCCACAATCCTACATGTGTCGCCCCACAACAGCGAGTACATCTTGAAAGAAAGTACATCCTCACCAACGCACCTTAATCTACTTTTCCGTTTACATAGGTAAGATTTTTTTAACTGAATTTTTTTTTTTAAAAAAAATGCTTGCTTATTTATCTGTAAATTTTTTAAATATATTTTTTATTTAAAAAAATACAAACAAACTCTACAAAAGACATATACATAAAAATCTAAATAAAATATTGTTATTTTTTATGTGATTTTGTCAGTAATCAATAAACTCTAATAAAAAAATTTATAAAACTATTTTTCTCTCAATTCCTCTTTTTGAGAAACATTAAAATTATAAAAATGGGTTTAATGTTTCTATTTTATTATAGAATTTTTTTTCAACCATACTCATATAAAAAAGAGTGAGTCTCGTTGGTGTTTTTTCTCTCTTTCATTTATAATAGGATCTACTCTTTTTTATATAAGAATGATACGTAAATCTTTTCACAAAAGCTTGAAGTATTACTTACTCATGAAATCAATCAACAAAAGATAAGATCTACCTTAACTTAACTAGAATACAACTATGTTAGGGAGTATTGTTTTTTTCCGAATAAATCATATTTATTCTCAAGAAAAACAATTCTAACCAAGATGAGTGTAAGATTAAAGTTTTAAATTTTTTTTCGAAAATTCAATCCCACACTCTTAATTTCATCCGTTCAGTTCTTACGCACCGGAGGTACCATTTCCTTTGCCGATAAAGGATAAGAGACTATTCTATGGCAGAACTTTTGATCAACCAATGGATTGTATCCAAAAAAAAAAAAAAAAAATTTACACACATTTCATTTCTTCATAGTTAGCCTTTTCTTTATGTACCATTTAATTTTAGAATAAATAATAGCAACTTTCGCAGTTAAAGAAACAAAATTTAAAAAAAATAAATAAAATGTGAAGAGAGAATAAAAAGTTAAAAACTGAGAAAGAGATTTACGAGTTTACGCTTTGATACAGATACGGTCCCATCCCTGTCTTTCCCTTTTCTCATTCTCTCTCTCTCTCTCTCTCTGTCTTCTCTTCTTTCTCTCTCTTCACATTCGCTTCAATCTCAGTTCCTCTTTCGATCCGCGCCCTTCTTCACAATCTACCGAATCGTACAATGGTACTTCCGCAAAGCCCTAACTCGTCGCCTTGTGACTCAGTGCCAACTCTCCGATGATCATGGAACTCAACGATTCCACCGGCGGCGACCACAACAACAACGCGCCGCCGCCGCCGCTTCAGCAGCAGCAGCAAGACTCTCGCTCTGGTCTTGGAATCGACCTCAACGAGATCCCTTCCCCTTCTTCTTCCTTCGCGGAAACCCTACCGGACTGCGCCGTCGACATCGTCCGCGCCTACCACGAGAACCCCGCCCCTCCTCCCGGCGGACCCGCCAACCTCCCCCGAGGCTCCCCTCCCTGCGTCGCCTGCGGAAAGCCCGGCGGCGGCGGCGGAAGCCACGTCGTCTGTGACGGCTGCGAGCGCTGCTTCCACTTGGCCTGCGCCGGGATTCGCGGCGGTGGTCGCCAGGTAGCGAACATCAGCGAGTGGGTGTGCGGCGAGTGTGTCTCCGGCGGGGTGAAGAGTAAGCGGTGGCCGTTGGGTGTCAAGTCCAAGCAGCTTCTTGATATTAACGCTTCACCGCCCAGTGATGCCGACGGTGACGGTGGTGGTGAGGAGTTGCAGGATTTGAGGTACGGAAAATTCAAGCATTCTTGTTGTGTTATATTATAACCTTGACTTTTCAGTTAGGGTTGTTCCAACGCAGTGTCTATAGTAAAGTTAAACCTTTTTACAATTTTTTTTTTCTGTAATGTTGGAAATAAGTAACATAGCTTGTTATCATTCAAAGAATGAAGAAGTTTAAGGGTAGCAGAACCAATGTGGATGCTTTAATGTCTCGTTGTTGTGTTGAGAAACATGTGTTGTTCATTTCTCGTATCCTTTTTTCTTTGGCTATCTATGTATCCGTATGCATTCCCTTTTTTCATAGTAAACTTAGTGTAGCATTTTTTATTTTTTTTTGGGTGATAAATAGCAGTGCTCTTTTTTCTTTTTCTTTTCCTTTTTTTGGTATAAAAAGATGCAGCACCTGAGTAGTTGAGGGAGAATAGGTGGCCTAGTGGAGAATCAAACCCCTTACATGGTAATCCCAGCATTGAGACTAGGGCCGGTACCAGTTGAGCTATAAGCTCGTTAGCTAATATTGCTTTTTGTTATAATTACATATTTGTGACCGAGTTTTCGACTTTCTGTTTCCAGAAATGATTTGATCCCATTTTAGGGAAAGTTTTCATTAAAGCCAACCAAACTAGCTGTCAAGCCTTTTTTTCTTTTTGAAAATGAAAACAGGAAATACACAAAACAAATGCACTTATATATTTCTTCTTTGCACCCTTTGGCATAATGTTTGTAGGCCAATATGAAATGTATGTAATCAGGATGGAATTTCACAATGTATTATGGTTCCTTTGTCAATGGAAAGAGACTTAGCATGAATAAGAATTGGAGTTCGGTTTTGGGGACTTTTAATGGGCTTTCAATTAGTGTTTCTTTAAATAAGGGGAATTTAGGCTGAGTTAACTTTGATATGGAAAGTCAAACACCTTTTAGTTTATAGTTTTCACAATTTTTGCTAGTACTTCAGAGTACCAGATTGGCAAATGCAAAACACCCCAGTTACGTATTCCTGGTCTCCTCCGTTGAGTTATTGCCACACTATCATTATTGTAGTGATTTCTATCATGCATTAGCATCGCTGGTACTGCCGTTGTCCCTTATACTACCTAAACCAATACTATTTCATGGTAACTTCTTATTGTTGCCTTCAATGGAACTAATTGGAAATATGGCACTTGACTGGAGCACTATTTGACACCATAATGCTTCCAGCCTTCAACCATTGATCTGTCTGCCCTTGTCAGTGCCTTCACCAGCATTGTTGATCTTGTTAGTGCTTGAGAATAAATTTCAAGAGACTCCAGTAAATTGCTTGAGTGTTTTGCACTCAGCATACTGATATTTATATACATGGAAAATTAAAATACGATTACAATAATTATCAAGAACTGGACTATTTTCTAAGATCCTGATGTTTTGAATGCTTTGTATATCCCTATTGTTTCCGAAGATGTAATAATTATTGTTATCATTTTCAATACTCCCCCTCAAGCTAGAGCATATAGATCATATGCAATAAGCTTGTTACAAATGTAGGACAATTTGAGGACCCCTAAGAGACTTTGTCGAGATATCTTCTAGTTGAGCATTTTTAGAGCTAACTGATTAGGTGATATTTTCTTTGGAAAGAACTGATTCATTTGGCAGCAACCTTAGAGCCATTTTCTAATGTGATAAAATGAGGAAATTTAGGTATTGATAGGTAAGAGAATGAAGAACTATTGCAAGCAATATGATCAGAGGCACCAGAATTAGTTACCCTAGGATTGTTACTAGAATGAGAGACACATTGTTGAATTACCCATATAAGCTACAGTACCTGTGGAAGATTGGACTTGCTTGGCTGCATCTAACTGAAGATACTCTTGATAATTAGCCTTTGAAAGCTTAACTTCAGAATGTTCATACTGAGAAACATTGGCAGATTTCTCTGGAAAGCCATGAAGTAAATATTAGGTATCTTGAGTATGTCTCATCCTTTTGTAATAAGTACATTGAGGATGACTTCTAGGTCTACCTTGTCCTTTATGATTCCAATGACCTCTATGTTGGCCATGATGTCCTGAGTTTGACGCCATTGCAGATGCTTCAATTGATTATATTACCTTGTCCCTTTTTTTGGTGAAGGAACTTGGAGTAGTCAAGTAAATAGATTCTCCATTGAAGGAACCTCTGGACTAGTTAGAGTTTGATTGTGAGCATGTTCAGAATCTGGGTGCATTGCACAAAAAACTAACAACACAAACAGATTCTTCATTTTTACCATTATTCCTTGAAGAGTTTTAGCTTGCAAAAACACCTTTAACTCTTCAAATGCAGATTGAGATTTAACAAACAATTAGGCCATTTCATGATTGGCAGCTAATTTTTGGGCTGAATCATACAGCCACTGAATATCATTAACAAACAGATTTTGAGCCTTCTTGCTAAAAGTATGAGAGGTTTTGAAAGTTCTGAAATTTAGCAAAATGGTTGGTTCAACTGATTGCCATAACATAACACACAGTTGACAATTAAATTTCTCCCACCAAAGTCAACTCTCCTCAGGTATTGATTTTTCAAATGATCTGAAAGACCTTGGCCAGGAAACCATAGCTCCACCGATGTTTGCCAGGCAAAATTCTTCCCATTCACTTTTTCCATAGTAATAGTGAGATTTCCTGAAAATGCATAAGAAATAGGACCATGTGTAGATGAATTAGTCACAGTAGAGACTTGTTGGGACTCTTGATCAGTTGAAGCTGAGTCATTGGAATGCATTTCAACTCACTCACAAAGAGTATGAACTGAATTGGAATACATTTCAACTCACTACAGAGGGTATGAACTGAATTGGAATACATTTCGACACACTCAGGTTTGGGCAAATGATTACAAAAAGATAAGGAAAGGCTGGTGGTATTTATGGGACTGATCATGGGGAGAACAAACACTGAGAAGGTGCTCTCAGACTGACAAGAGAAGATGTGTGTAACAGCACATGGGGCTTTTTCTGGCAATGGAAATTTGTGGTTAGACTAGTCTATGGTCTCTAGATAGTTAGGTGATCTTCTTTGCCGAACAGATTTGATGAGTTGTATAGGTCTTCTCAATTGGTGGTTCAAAACCAGAGACTTAGGGATTTCTCAGATGTTTGGGAATGACACCACATAACAGTGAACTTTTGAGGGATTTAGGATCTGCTGGACCAGAAAGTAAAACCCGGAAACTATGAGCAGAAGCATGACTGAGCCTGCTCTGATACCTACTTGGGAATTAATTTCAAGATAGATTTCTGAGAATTGCTCGAGTTTTTTCCAGCATACTGATATTTATATATATATGGAAGAATAAATCAAACTTATGTTTACAAGAACTATAAAGAATTGGACTATTTCCTAAGATCCTTATGTTCCCAATGCTTCAGAAATCGCTATTGTTTCCAAAGCTATAATATACGCCGTTATCATTTCCAAGTTCTAATGATTGTCATTACTCATTACCGTGTATAACTATTGTAATTAACTTGGAATCATTTATATCGGCTAAGGCCAGTTTTGCTGAAGGTTCATATTCGGTTTCTTCTAAGAAGGCAGGAAGCTATCTATGTGAATTATGGACCATAAATTCTGCATTACACTTGAAATTCCATGTAAGGCTGTGTTCCCTGGCAGTTAATGTCAACATCAGCATATGTTTTACTTATATTTCCCTTAACTGTCTTGCTTGGTCAAATTAACAAATATAAAGTGGCTTCATTTTCTCCTGTTTCAAATTATATAAAGCATTAAAATGAGTTTTTTATCATTCTCCTTTTTTCTGTTACCAAATAATAAATCGTAAATCTGATATAATTTCAGCATAGCATTATGAAGCACAATTAAGCATAAGTGGCATATTACTTTGATTTTGATCTGTCATATGGTGATGTTTATCTGAAATGCTTTGGGTAGCTTGGCTGCTAATAGGTGAATTTTGGGTACTTTTCTTTTTATTGTTGTAAGTTTCTTTCTGGTTCCAGTTCTGTCTTTTAATTTGATGATTAATAATTTAAGTTCCCTGAGTCTCAGTTGTTATAAGTAGTTACTGTTTACATTTATTTTGGTTTTAGAAAGCACACTCCGGGTGATAATTCTTTTGGTGCCAATCCATTTGGTGCCCCAGTGACCTATTCAAACTTCTACAACGGGAGTGCTTTTGGCTTCCAAAAGGCATCTGGAGTTGTGACACATGCTGTTAGAGTGGGTTTTGAGGATATATTGAATCATACCCAGTCGATGAGTAAAAGCTTTGAGGAGGTATATATGAATTTCCCTCTTGGAATTCATAGTAATAATAATACAGCTATTAGAATACCATCTCAGAGTCCAAATGAGATATTTTTGCAGGCTCTTAGAGATTTTATATCTGAAAGGCGTGGTGTACTACAGGAAGGTTGGCGAGTGGAATTTAGACAATCACTGAGCAGCTCTGAATTGTATGCAGTTTACTGTGCGCCGGATGGAAAGATATTTGATTCTGTGTATGAAGTAGCTTGTTATCTGGGTCTAACTTCTGGCTACAATTCTATGGAATCTGAAATAAGAAATGAGAGGTCTCTCCCTTCTGTAGGTGGGCCTCACCTATGCAGAAAAAGAAAGTCAACAAGAACTCCAGTAGCCAATGGTTTTGCTGAAAAGTGGGGAACTTTGACAAATAGTAATTGCAAGGATCTTCCTTCTGATTGTTTAGGTGTGGAATGTGCTAATGCTCGGGGGAATATCCTAGAAGTTGCAGAAATTGGAAGAAAAGAGGATGATCGCTCTGGCCCTCAGCAATCTGCTGTAAGTGAATCTAGTTCACATCTTCTTGTTTCATTGTCGAGCTGGATTTGAATTTTAATTTCCCATATTAATATAGAATTTTGGGAATTATTATAGTGAAGTTAAAATTAGCCATTCCTGTCTAATTTTTCTGTGTTTTATATTTCAGGATGGACTTCCTTTACAGTTCAAGGACTTTTTTGTTCTTTCTTTGGGAAAACTTGATGGTAGACCTTCATATTATGATGTTAACCTTATCTGTCCTATAGGTTATAAATCCTGTTGGCATGATAAGATTACTGGCTCTCTTTTTACATGTGAAGTTCTGGAGGGTGGTGATTCTGGACCTATATTTAGGATCAGAAGGTGTTCCTGTTCAAAATTTCCTGTTCCAGTTGGGTCGACCATCCTCTCAATGTCAAGTCTTTGTCAATTTGTGAGTCAAACGAATGAAGGTGAGAGAAAGACGATTGATAGTATGGATTTAGATGGTGATGAAAGTATCCAGATGATCCTTTTAGACCCTTGCGTTCCAACGGAAAATGATGTCTTGAGTTGTCTTGCTAGTTGCTCGAATGAAGCATGTGATACTCACACATCAGATGTATTACAGCCTGTTGCTGGTTCAGTGCAAGATAATACCAGGAATTCATCAGCTGATAACTTGGGGTTTATTGATGGAATTGGTGAAATTTTGGTGGAAGAGCGGTCATCGTCCTCAGCATGGAAAGTTATTTCCCAAAAGTTAGTTAATGCTTGCAAGGATATCTGCAAGCAGAAAGGAGCTCTCAAGCTTTATTGTAAACATGTTGAAAATGAAACATGCTTCCATAAATGGGATATAAGGAATGGCAAAAGCAATATACACTTCACATCTTTGGATAAATTTTGTTGTTCACTTGGTTCGGTCAGCATCCCAGATGTAATTTATGCTTACAATGATCTGGAAAGTCTCTATGAAGGCTTAGGAAAATGGTTGGAGCAGGATAGATTTGGATTAGATGTTGAATTTGTGCAAGAAGTATTGGAACATCAGCCTGGTTTCCAAGACTCTCTTCAGTATAACATTCTAAATAGTAGAAGTAATAGCTCTTCATTGCCAACAGTAGAAAATGGTTTCCTAGAGGTTGAGTGGAGAGGTGGATCAAAATATCAGGAAGAAGAAGCAGTTCAGGGTTTATATAGGAGGCTCAAGAATGTGAGATTGACTGAAAAATGCATTAAGGAAGATCGTTGTCCACCTCCTGGGAAGCCAATATGCTCTAAAGCTCCTAGTGAACTTATTGGTGACATTTTTCAGGTATGTATATTATCAGCCAATAGTGCAATTGAATTATCTTTATTTTACCCTTTTACATTCTTTGGCTTTATTATTTATTTGCTACGATGTATAGTCTTACATTATTCTGCTTTCATCTTCCAGGCTTGGGAGCTTTTAGAGAGATTTCATGAAATTCTGGACCTGAAAGAACCATTGTCATTGTATGAGCTAGAGAAGGAACTTATCAACCCTTGGTTTGATGGATTGGATTTTCTTGAGAAATCTGAGAGGGAAACAGATGGAAGTCAATTTTTAAGTTTGCAGGGAGCTGATAGTAATTGCAGACCAATATTGTCCCCAAGATGTGAAGCTGGACCATCAGGTTCCGCAGAAAGTTCCCATGCATTTATTCAAGTGGAAACGGAAGCAATGAAAGAGGCAGCTCAAGTTAAGCTTGCATCTTTCACCTATGCGAGATGCTTTGGGGTAGCGTTGACCAAGGCTCATAATTCATTGCTAAGAGTGCTAATAGGTGAACTGCAATCAAGGGTGGCTGCTCTGGTGGATCCAAATTCTGAACCTGGAGAGACACGAACAAGACGGGGAAGAAGGAAAGATATAGACTGTGCATTTCCTGCTAAACGAACCAAGCTCAATATGCTTCCTATTAATGAATTGACTTGGCCAGAATTAGCTCGGAGATATGTCTTGGCTTTCTTATCAATGGATGGTAACCTTGAGTCTGCGGAAATTACTGCTCGTGAAAGTGGTAAAGTATTTCGCTGCTTAAGAGGCGATGGTGGTTTGCTATGTGGTTCCCTTACTGGTGTAGCTGGGATGGAAGCAGATGCACTGGTGAGATAACTTTTGTCTTCAGCAATGATTGATGAGTATTTTCTTCATCTTGATTAGTGTGGTTATACTCATTTTCTTCACGTGGCTAGTACTTGGGGCCTTGATGTAAATTAATTTGGCATTCTGACTCAATCCTAAGATATGGGTTTTTGTGGTTCTGAAACAAGAAGTTAGATTGTATGATGATCACTCTAGGTTTAATAATTTCTCGAAGGCTAGCTGATAGTTGGCATTTCCTGCCCCAGGAGAGTCTTTTTCTTTTGCACTAATTAAGTTGGGCTGAGGTCTAATGACCACTTTTCATTTATGTAGACAACTAAGACAAGCTCATTTATTTATTTAGGTTATGGCAGCAGGGCATGGCTTAGTAACAGAAAGGAAGTTGACAAATATTTATTTTATGGGCTATGAACAGGATTTTAATCCATTTAAGGCTAGTTAATTGAAAATGTGTTTTGATTCGAAAACCATGCCTTAGAAATACCCATAATTGAGGAAAATGACATGATTTTGATTACGAAGTACCAGGAGAGAATTTTGATGCTTATACTGTGGAGAATGCCTTTAGTATGCTAAATTGCTAAGCAAATTAAGGACATTTATATATAAAGCTCTCCTTTAGCATTTTTGTAGTCATAACTATAGCCCTGGATTCCCAATGATAATAGTTCTTTTGAATCATGCTAAACCTAAGTACTTCACATATTCACATCAGACTTGCTGTTCCTTTGCAAACATGATTTTCATAAAATGCTTGTCAGAATGTTGTACTGGTCAAATTACTTTTTCCATTTTCCTGTAATGTTGTCAAATTTGTCTTATCAGACCTAGCATCTGGGATGGCTTTTATGTGCATTTTGATATGGTTTAGCTTTATTCCTTTACTTCAGTTTTTGTCTTGGCGTGGCTAGTGTGCATGCTTCATTTGGATGCTCAATTTCCTCATAGAAGTTTCTTTCTTATGTCATACTATGTCTTTGGATTTTATTTGATGCTGCTGGTCAAACTTTTGTACACTATAATTTAAATAGTCGAATTGAAAGGAATTATAGAAGTAACACTGAAGGATTGTTTTATTTGGCTCTCAGTTACTTGCGGAGGCCACAAAGAAAATATTTGGTTCTTTGAGCAGAGAAAATGATGCACTAACCATGGAAGAAGAGGAGTCTGATGCAAAGGGTGCATCTGAAAAAATTCTGGGGAATGATGGTATTATTCCTGAATGGGCGCAGGTGCTGGAACCTGTCAGAAAGCTACCAACAAATGTGGGAACCCGAATCAGAAAGTGTGTTTATGAAGCTCTGGAAAAGAATCCACCAGAGTGGGCAAAGAAAATACTGGAGCATTCAATTAGTAAAGAAGTGTACAAGGGGAATGCATCTGGACCAACGAAGGTGCTAATGAGTGGCACTTCTCCTTTACTACATTTATTTTGCTTTTTATGTTTAGGTACATGGACATGGCCAAGACCATGGTAAAACCACTATTTTTGTTGCGCTAGTAAAACTGTTAGTATGGCAGTTTCTTGACCATTGGATCAGATATCTGGTCAAACTTTTTAATAGAATCCAGGAACTGTCAGCTACTAGTTGCACTGGTGCCATGGTTTCAGCGTAGAATTTGCTCAATTAGTTAATTTTATTGTTTCTCACTTTCTCGTGCATTAGTTTCTATTGTAATATGCAAGCCATCTTGTAATTTATAGTTTTCACTCCTCACATATATGAGAAAACTATGTATATTGTCTTCTTTTACATTATGCAAGGCATCTTCTTGAAACATGATTTTTTCTTTTTACCTTTTCCCTCTTTTGTAACAGAAGCTCAGTTTCTTACGCTGCATGTATATTGACAAAACTAAGGGCTTCATGTTAATATCTGTATTACAATGTAATAGTTCATCTGGTTAAAATAGTTAATTATTTTTTGTTTTTTTATGTGGTATTTTATGAAGCATGATCCTGAATTATATATATTCTTGTTGTACACAGAAAGCAGTTCTTTCAGTGTTGGCTAATGTAAATGGTGAAGGATCGCAACAGAATCCCAATAAAGGAAGGAAAAAGAAGATTGTTGTATCTATTTCTGATATTATCATGAAACAATGTCGGATTGTATTACGTCGTGCAGCTGCTGCAGATGATTCAAAGGTTTTCTGTAATTTGCTGGGAAGAAAACTAATAAATTTTTCCGATAATGATGATGAAGGGCTTCTTGGACCCCCAGCTATGGTGGCCCGTCCTCTTGACTTCCGGACTGTTGACCTAAGGTTGGCTGCTGGATCTTATGGTGGATCTCATGAAGCTTTTCTGGAGGATGTTCGCGAGGTCTGTGTCATATCAGACTTAGATTGCTTGACCAAATGGTCTTTTTTTTTTTTTTTTTCTTTAGATTACTATTCCCTTTTAGACCCAAATTTTTCTGCTATTATGGCATGGTTTTTCTCTGTAAAGGTTGTTGTAAATATTATTTTTTATGCTTCCTTGCCCCATTTGAGTCTTTGGCTCAAGAAGAGAAGATGTGTGTGTTGTGGGTGTGGGGGGGGGGGGGGGTGGTCATGGTTAGTTTCCTCATGTCTTCCTTCAAATACTGGTCTTTAATATGCTTTCTGATAGCTGCCAAGTCATTCTTAATATGTTTATAACTTTTTTACATGTTGCAGTTGTGGAACAATGTTCGTGTTGCTTTTGGGGATCAACCTGACTTAGTTGAACTGGCTGAAAAATTATCCCAGAATTTTGAATCGTTATATAATGACGAGGTTGGTAGCTTGTTTGTGTATACATCAGCACATGGACAATTGTGCTTTCACTAATTGAATATTTGAATTGGTACAGGTTGTTACCCATGCCCAAAAATTTGTGGAGTATGCTAAATTGGGATGCTTAAGTGCAGAAATGAGAAAAGAAGTTCATGATTTTATTGTGTCAACGAGTGAGATTCCAAAGGCCCCTTGGGATGAGGGAGTCTGTAAAGTATGTGGCATTGACAGGGATGATGACAGTGTTCTACTATGCGATACTTGTGATGCTGAGTATCATACGTATTGCTTGAATCCTCCACTTGCAAGGATCCCTGAAGGAAACTGGTACTGTCCTTCTTGTGTTGATGGTAAACATGCAACTCAAGATGTTACAGAACGTATACAGATTATTGGAAAACATAAAAGTAAAAAATTCCAGGGAGAAGTTAATTCTCTTTACTTGGAAGCTCTAACTCATTTATCAGCTGTACTCGAAGAAAAAGAATACTGGGAGTTCAGTGTGGGCGAGGTTTGTTGATGGGCACCTACTTATGTTACTCTTTCTTAGCTAGCTAATACATATATACCCTTGTAGATAGAATGGCAGTATGGTCTTCTTTTTCGCATTGGATATTCGTCATGTTATACTGCTACGAAAAAGGATTTTTATTGGTAATTGGATTATGCTGGAATATGCTTCCCATTCATTATCATCTAAATGAATCTCAGCGATTCCTTTTTGGTATGAATGAAGTCATGAACCAACTATCCTAAAAGCTTAAGTTGTTAGGTGAGACATGAATGGTTTTATATTACATTTTTAACATGTCCCTCATGCAAAAGCCATTTGGGCTTGAAACGTGGACAATGTATATGTTCATCTACCTTGTGCTAGAGCTCAAAATGCAGATGACAAGGACATTAGAGACACTATGATCAAGTGGTTTAGAGTTCGATCATTGCCAATCCATTCTTCTAATAAAAAGTTGAGTTTCAACACAAGGTAGGTGAGCATGTGTATTGTCCACATTTCAAGTCCAAATGGCTTTTGCATGAGTGAGGTGACACATAAAAGATGTAATATAAAATCTTTCCTGTCTTCAGCTAAAATCTTATATGAATGGTTTTGTATTGCATCTTTAACAAATTATATATTGTTCTGACTCTTATGTTTGCTGATTTTCATTTATTGCTTGATTTCCATGGGTATAAGTGTATAACTCTTTTATTTTGTATCTAAGAAAGGTTTTCAGTGAAAGTATTAATTTTAATGATAAAATGCTCATTTTTTTTTTGAATTATTGTCAAAGTAGTTATGATGTTTGAATTGACTACTATTATTGCTAATTTAAAATGCTTTGTGGTTTGCAACTTGAGTTATGATTACATATTGCTGAAACTGTGCAGCTTCTTTTCTGTGTTTGTATTTGCTTAATTTTTTTTTTATGGTTGCAGAGAACTTTCCTTATCAAGTTTTTAAGCGATGAGTTGCTTAACTCTTCCCTGCTACGCCAGCACCTTGAGCAATGTGCAGAGTTGTCTGTTGAGTTACATCAGAAATTGCGTGCACTTTCTGTAGAGTGGAAAAGCCTGAAAACTAAAGAAGATATTTTATCAACAAAAGCTGCAAAAATTGATACATTCTCACTAAATACCGCTGGAGAAGTTGGTCTTAAGGAAGGATTTACAGCTTTGTTCTCAAATAGTGGTAAGTGTCTGGGGCAGCCTCAAACTGTAGTTGACAATCCTAGTAATTTTGGGGTATTTGTTGATAGTCTGCCTTCAGAAGTGACTGCCAAAGAGAAGTACAGGTTCAATAGTGTTGATAAAACTGTACCAGTGACAAATTCAGATTCTGATAGCCAAAATCTGAATTCCATAGATTTAGAGGGACAACTTGGGAGTGCCTCTGTGGCTGTGGAGTCTCAATGTACTGATAGATCCCCCAAGTCTTTTGCATCACCAAATCATCTGCATGAAGAAATAAATGGTTCTGGTGGAGCAGCTCATATCCAGGTTAACCAACAGAAATGTGAGGGAAGGGACATCTCTACTCTTGTGACATATCAGCAAGAACAATGTGTGCCTGTTGATGTTCCTCAGATTGCTATGAATGAGTCAGAACCCTTCCACCTCGAGCTCAGTGCCGTCAAGCGTAATATTTCATTACTGCAGGATTCCATAACTAGCGTAGGATCACAGCTGCTGAAGCTCTCTGTTCGCCGGGAATATTTGGGCATTGATTCTATTGGTCGACTGTACTGGGCTTCGGCTATGCCCAGGGGACGTTCACGTATAGTTGTTGATGCAAGTGCTGCACTGCTGCATGGAAAAGGAAGGGAAGTTAGCAGAGACACCGTGGAGAAGTTTCCTGTTCTGCAGCGTTGTGCACTATCTGACAAGGATAACTGTAAGATGTTGGGGGTGACCAAAGACTCCTCTTCTTTAATGTCTCAACCAAGTGATGCTTTGGGCATTTGTTCACCATGGATTGCTTATGAAACTGATGCAGAAATTGAAGAGATCTTATGTTGGCTGAATGATAATGACCCTAAAGAAAGAGAACTGAAAGATTCCATTATGCTGGGGCCAAAATCAAGATTTCAGGAGTTTATTAATGCACAGACTGAAGTTCAGGCTGAGGACCAAGGACCTATTTCTATGCCAGGAAATAGTGAGAAAACATTATCTAATTCTCTTGTTACAAAGGCGACGTCCTTGCTGGAAAAGAAATATGGTTCCTTTTTTGAGTGGGATACCATTGAGGTGTTGAAGAAGCGAAGCAAAAAGGCCAGAACAACTAATGATGAAAAAATGTATAGGTGTGAGTGCCTAGAACCCATATGGCCTTGTAGGAAACACTGCATGTATTGCCACAAAACTTTTTCAAGTGATGTTGAATTGGAGGGACACAATGATGGCAAATGTAATGCAGGTCTGATGATGACCTTGGAGAAGAATAAGGATAAAAATGGATCTTCCAAAGGAAAAGGGAACTCAAAATGTGATACCTCACATGGAAAATTCAAAGGTGGTGCAGAAACAGCTGGATCGTCAATTAATGAAAATTATAAGCGTTGCTCAAGATTGATTAAATTTTCAAATGAAGAATCCACATGCCCATTTAACTTTGAAGATATATGTTCCAAGTTTGTGACAAATGATTCCAACAAGGAACTTGTCAGAGAAATAGGTCTTATTGGTTCAGATGGTATTCCATCCTTTGTTCCTTCCATCTCTCCTTTTGTTAGTGAGTATACGCTATTCTCAGCTCAAAAGGATGATAGCATTGATGGTGGTGCATCCAAAGCTTCAGAGAGCCGGGTTTTTCAAGGAAGCAATGATGGAGCTGGCATATGTCATGACCTTAAATCCAGCATATCTCCTGGAAGGTTAGCTGCAAATGAAAGCAATAAAGCAGGACAATCCAACAAATCATCGTTGGGAGAACAAAGAGATGGAAAGTTCTCTTTTTGTAGTCCTGCTTCAGATATGGTAGTTGATGGCTGCTGTGTGGTCCCTTCATCTTCGTTGAGACCATTAGTTGGAAAAGTTTCTCATATTTTAAGGCAACTGAAGATTAATCTACTTGATATGGATGCTGCACTCCCAAAAGTAGTTCTGAGACCATCAAGGGCACAGTTGGATAGAAGACAGGCCTGGCGTGCATTTGTTAAATCTGCAGAGACTATATATGAGGTTTGTCTTATTTCTGTGGCTCTGGCACATATACTTCTCTATTAATAGGTATTGTCGTAAACATTTCTCTTTTCTAATAGTTCAGCACTGCAGCTCAGCTTGCTGAGATACTTTTTTGAGTCTCGCTAGACAACAGTTTGTTGACTTATTAATGCCACTTTGCAAAATTACTCCAATATCAGTGAAAAGTAGTTGTTTTATGTGTGTACATGAACTTCCTGAGCAATAAATATGCTATATTTCTAGTTCAGGTACATTAACGATGAATGTGAACTTGTGTTTGTTAATTGATGTTCCTTCCATTTTTTCAGATGGTTCAGGCAACAATTACACTGGAGGATATGATTAAGACAGAGTACTTAAGGAATGACTGGTGGTACTGGTCATCATTCTCTGCTGCTGCGAAATCTTCTACTTTGCCTTCCCTTGCCCTTCGCATATACTCCCTTGATTCAGCCATTATATATGAGAAAATGCCCAATTCAAGTTTTACTGACAGCTCTGAACCTTCTGCGATAGCAGAACAGAAACAGCTGATCACGGTGGATGCAGAGAAATCTAAAGCAAGCCGGAAATCGAACAGGAAAAGGAGGGAACCGGATGGTTGATCTCATACTTATTCTTTGCTGAGGAAATCAGAAAGCTGGTCATTTAAGTGGTGTGATATGATCATCCACTGATATTTGAATTTGGATGGAGAAGCCATGGGACCAGCTTCAGGTTATTAAAGGGGGCAGCCACAGCTCCTGGTGTCACTTGCGTGCTTGTACATATAGGTAAAACTGACCTGCTAACTCGGGTGCTGGTTTTTGGCTAAGCAGAATTTGTAGAATTATATGCTTTCAGTGAGGGCACCAGTATGAGGGAATTATGAGGATGCGTCCAATTTTGAAATGATTTCTGCTGCAGCTGTCCAATTGGTTGCTCTATAGCAAGAAGTGATATTACATTTTTCATTTTCTAGCAGAGTCTGATCCATATATGTATACAAATGGAACTAATGTAAAGAAGGAATAGGAAAAAAAAAAGAATTAAAAAAAGGAAGGATGGGAAAGAAGCCAGAAAATGTCAAGTTGAGCAGTGTAGGCAATATTTCATTCTTTATACATTTTCTCTCTCACCCCTAAAAAAGTCCTGCACACGCGTGCCTTTGATTTTGTTCTTGGGCATCTGCAGATGTGTTAGAATGCAGGGGAGTTATTGGAATCAATGCATTTTTCCATCTGCTTTATTGTGCAAACCTAGTGCGAGTTCTATTTGATTTGTTTACCTGCTAATTTTCCCTTAATTCCTGCTTTATGGTTGTGGTTTTATCGTATATATACTAAATATCTGAACCCCTCCCCATCGGTTTGAGCATCTTAATGAGGATCAAGTTACTGTAAGTGGGTTGCACCGTTTCCACATATGTGGCAATAATCGAGGTAGCACGGACATTTCACTTGCATAAGTGGTAGCTGCGTCTGTTATGCTAATTAACAACATGTTGGTTTTGTTGTGTACCCAAGTGCGGAATGCAGTTTAGGTAATCTACCAGGGTGTCTTTTGGGAGGTAGGTTTGTAGGATTCTATATTTCTCATCTCTTGCTAGATAATCATTAGGTATGAAGGTCTATAATGCTTTGGGTGTTTGGCCTGTTGATATCCAGCAGAAATATCTTGACATGGTATGATCATTTGATTGCTTGTTAATAATCTAAGATTTCTGAGTAAATTAACATGATCTTATATTGTGATTAATTTGCTGTTGTAAGCTTCTGTGGTACTTTCCAACAAATTCGTATCGAGCGTTGAAGTTGATCAATACAATTTTCAATCACTAGCTAATTATGTTAGTGCAAAATCGAATATTGTTTTTGAATATTTTTTAAAACTTTGTTCACTATTAACAATGTTATTAATTGAATTATATGTCATGATAGTTATAAGTAAAATACGTTCTTGACTACCATAATTAAGGTGTGAAAATAATTGTCGTTTAAAAAGACTCCTCAAAAAGGGAAAACTAACCGCTGAATGCATTCTTGAAGAGGGGGTTGAACCTTTAGCCATCACTGACCTCCGCACTCCGGATTAGTCCCATAGCCGGCTCAAAGAGTCGAAGCTTGTGGGGATACCGGAGGGAGCCAACTCGCCTCAAAGAGGTAATTAGGGTTGGGTAACTCCAAAAAAGAAGAAGGGAAAACTAAGACATGCAGACCTTTTCTCCCTTTGTGGTCTCGGCCCGTTCGATTCAAGATTAGTTCGTTTCGAGATTAATCGAGATTCAAGTAACTTGCAAAGAGAGATTTGGAGCAAAGAAAAAAATCCTACGATATATTTATATATAAGAGAAGGATCTGTTTACAATTTTTTTTATAAATTATACTAAGTATAACGGGTTATACATTTTTAATTGAAGTATCACCGGTCATACTTAGTGTAATTTGTAAACAAAAAATTTGTAAATATAACATTTTCCATATATATATATATATATATATATATATATATATATATAATACTTAACTATGTTTTTATCCTTAAACAAAACAGAAACTTAATGTAAACTTAGGAAGTACAACACAAGACGCCACGTACCAATTTACCGGACTATGTTTATTAATCTTGGCTTAAGGCCACTCCAACTCCAAAGTGGTCTAAGCCACCTAAACAGGAGGTTTATTTTTGTCTTTCTCACCCACATGATACATATAATTATACAATATTCTTGCTTTTTCTTAATTAAGCAACTAATTAAAAAAGCATTGTTACATTATGGAGCATAATACATATTACCCCACCAAGCCAATGCCTCTCCTTCCTCATGGTTTGGGTGGTCAGTTTCATGTGCCACAAACACATCTAAGTAACTCCTCCCATCATCACTGCCATCCTCCTCCTCTGACTGAACCCTTTCAAGTGGGACCACACATCCACCATAATTGTCAGCTGGAAAGTATGAATCAACACTGTCAACAACAAGTTGGGGACTACCCTCGTCCACCACTGCACTTCCAACACTTCCAGTACTCAGGTGGTCCTCTGCCTTCAATCTGAAAATTTGAGCTATATCCACTTGAAGTGGATCAGCTTTCTTTTCTAATAATGGTTCTCCAGGCATCTCTTTAGCTTGAACTTGAAGCTTCTCATTTAAGGAAACCACCTGTGGAATAGTCAAAATGTCATTAAGATAATCATACTTAAACGTCCACTTGTTTACTTAGCTTATGGCCCCATCTTGCATATTCTTTTCTAAAATATTCATCAGTCTTTTTCACTAAAGGAAGTCTTAAGCATATTTTGAGAAATCTACAAAAGTATATTCGCATAGTAACTTTGCAATGGCCTTTTTTTCAAACGAGGTGGGGTTCAGAACAGATGCTACTCTTTGATAGTATGTGATTATTATAGTATCGAATCTCATGTGTAGGACCCTCTCCGGATAGCTCCCCCAATCATCTTCTAGGTTAAGTGTTGATTTGCTTCTCTATGATGGAGTTCTGATTGTAAAGGCACTAACTGTTGACAGACAATTTATATTCTATTCACCAAATATTTCATCACCCTTATATGCAAAGATTACATCTTTGCAGCATTCACCTATTCTCAAATTGCATATATGCGCAGCCAAATCTAAATAAAAAAATCATAATATTTCCATTGCATACACATAATGATTCAACTTTTGTAAACATTACAAAATTGTATATATGTACCTCAGATTTTAGTTTCTCATTCTCCTTCGTAATGGAATCATGCGTTGAAAGTAGGGAATCATAGGAAGACTTGAGAACATCATAATCCCTTTCAAGTTGCTTGGTCTTCCATCGAGCCCTGCGGTTCTGAAACCACACAGCCACCTGCCTAGGCTGCAACCCCAGCTTCTTGGCCAACTGGGTCTTCCTCTCTGGCTCCAGTTTGTTCTCTTCCTCAAAGCTCTTCTCCAACAGATGGACCTAATCATCAACCACACAACATAGTGTCACAACATGAAATATTGATGACAACCTATCATGGAAGTTAGCCTTAGCCTTCTAATAAACATTTCCCATATCTTCAGATTCGGATGCAGCAATATAAACCACAAAAATGAAGAAAGTAAAAGCCTTACACAATATCTATTTTACCAGTCTTTGTTGTTCAGTTCCATCTAGGGATCTCCATAAGTAATCAATCAGTAATTTAATAACAAGAACAAGCATCCAACTCAACCTGTTTCGTTTTACTAATAGTAAGAAATGGTTTCAAAATCAACCACTTTATAACCACAAAATCGAATTTCTCTTTAAAGCCAACCCCCTTTATTCCACAAATAATATTGTATTAAAAGCCAAACTCTTAAGCAAATGTGAGACTGTGACAAGAATAAGCATCAGCATATTGAAAACAACCAATACTAATTATATTTCAAGTAACCGGTCAACCTGCTCGGAAGTGAGGCGGCGTTTCTTCTCCGGCAACTGCTCCTCGTAGTATTCCTCATCAAAAAGTTCATCCGGTGAACTGAAGAAAGGTCGCCTCTTTGAGCCTTCCTCCATGCTCATCATCGATCTTCCTGCTTTCATTTGAATCCCAAATTCCCCCACCCAAAAAAATAAAAAATAAAAAAAATCATCAATTAACACTCTTTTGTACATTAACATTTCAGACACCATCTAGATTAAAAGATAAGAAAACACACAAAATTGAAAAAAAAAAAATTATTTTAATTCATGACTTATCACGACCCATGTTTGATACACAATCAAGTTGCTTCCTTTAACACAAACCCAACTTTAATTTTCGGTTTTACACACAGTCTAGCTTATAAACAAAAAAAAAAAAAAAAAAAAAAACAGTTAATTCAATCCAAAAAGGGTAAACGAAGAAGAAGACTAAGAAGAAGAAGAAGAAAGAGAGATACCTCGAAAATCGAGATCGGCATTTCCGAGGAAGAGGATGTTGTTCCCGCGACAAGCGGAAGTGTCAAAGAAAAGTCGTCCAGATTCCATGGCACTGCAAAGTTTTTGGTTCGATCACTGTCACTGTAACTGCCACAGACACTTCACTTTGTGAAGTGTTTTGTGATTATGTGTTTCTTTGTGTGTTTGCTGTTACTAGTAAATTTTAGAGTTACAAGGTTGTTTGTGTTTGTTTTTTTTTTCAACGGATTAGAAGATCATTAGCTTATGACGGAAGAAGCTTGTGGTCCAAAGCAACCTCGCCGGAGTTTCCAACGGGCATATGCAAGATCCCATCATACACCGCCCCACAACAGATTCTGTTTTCCGGGCGTCAGTTTCGGGCACTTTCTGTAAGCAAACGATGAAGGGAGAGAGGGAGGGAGGTTCGTCGGAATCAGAGAACGGCCTTCGCCGGAGATGGAATTTCCGGCGAGCGTTTCGAGGGGGAATTTGTCTGAACGCTGTGGCTCTTTGTGGGTGTTTTTTGCGGCTAAAGTTGTTCGATCAAAGGCCTGTGGCTTTTATAGTGGTTCCTTGGGGATCAAATTACTTAAATACCTTTTATTGGTTTTTTTTTTTGTGTTTGTGTGTGTGTGTGTGGGGGATAGTAAGAGTTTTTTTTTGTCCGGATTACATCGATTTTGAATCAAATATTATCCGATCCAATCTAATTCAATTTTATTTGGTTTGGATTGGATTGATTTTTGGTTTTTCAAAAAAGTCTAAAATTTCAGTCATACAAATAACTATTTATATCAAAATAAAATTATTCAAAATTATAGATCACTGAAAAATTTAGTTGTTTAAACTAAAATAAGTCTTAAAACTCATGAAGAGTTAAAATAGATTAATATATGATAAAAATCTAAAACAAGATAGTTTTTTATCAATAACATCTAAGATTCTAAGTCTACAAAACAACAAGATTTCAAGTCACCTTATTTTAAAAATAATCAATACATAATACATTGGATCAATTTTCACCAATCAAACCGAAAATTGATCCAATCCAATTAAAATATGAGGATTTTTTTTTTCTTTAGTTTTTGCTTTTTCGATTCAGTCACCACGATTTCAATCAGTTTGAATTAATTGATGAACACCCTTATGGGATAAGTTATTTTACTTATTATTTTTTTCATGCATATCTTGTCTACCACTCTCCAACACCAAAAGTGTGTGTTGAAAAGTGATAGACAAAGTAGGCAAAAGAAAAAAGTAAATAAAATAACTTATCCCTATTTTTCCTAACATTTTATGTTATATTATTATTATTATTTTTTTTGTATACACTATTTTATATTATTTCTACTTTTTGATTTTGGGTGAATGTCCTGCATATTTAGATGAGACTAATCTCCTTCATGGCTTAAGTATCAAGATTTTTGTCACTTATGCCAATGGTTTCGTTTAGAAATCGAACCAGAAATCTTTCAACTTAGCAGTCCGCTCCTTGAATACAACTTGCTTATGTTTTTGTCATTTCTTGAGGTTAATTTTCTTATATTTTAATACTCAAATTCAGTTAAAATATATATTTAATTTATGATACGGCTAATTCTTCTATTGATTACATGTGAGTTTTAAAACATTAGTTCATACATGTTTAAATGAGAAAATCTGTCTCCATTCTACAATTTTGGTAAGTGAAAATTTATAATGAGATTACAGATAGTGTATCAACTAATTACTATCTTATGCTTTTCTGAATGTTTTTTGGTTTTCATATGCTGGTTTTTGTTGATTTTAGCTCTTTATGTGTTCAGTTGCCTATTATAATATAACATATGCTATATTATACTCTTTGATTTTTTTTTCTTCCTAAAATTGAAGTTGATAGTTAATTTTTTTTGTAGTTTGATAATTGTTCAAAGAAATACATAGCTTGTTTTTGCAGTTTAGGAAGAAATATACTTTCAATTTTGCAATAAAGTTCAAATTCAGGAGTGTGATCTGTGTTAGGTTTTTTCAATTTGAATATCACCTCTATAGCTTCATTAGGAAATCATAGATGTTGAGAAATTTAAGATGATAGATCAGTGGCAAATGTTCTAGATCCCCATTAAACGTCATTACTCTGGACTGAGGCTGTTGGTGGAAGCAAAGAACGGCAGAAAATAAAGCTACTTTTGTTACGTGGCAAAAGTTTGGATGAAAAGCAATATGTCATTACATTTCTTTCATATCTTTAAGAAAGTCCAAATTGAAGAATTTCTTTTTTATTTCCATTTTTTGACTTTTTAAATTTATGGTATAGACTGGGTGCAACTCTTATTTTTCGAACATGAAAATTCTTCTCTCCACTTTGTGTTTTTGGTTTTCACTAGTTATAAGGATGTACATATATGCACACGAAGGAAATAAGAGAGCATATGAAAACTTTGTATTTTGGACACATATAATCTGCCTGCAAGCTCTTAGTGGTGGGTCACGAGGCGAGCCCATGGTTTGGGAGATCAATCATTATATGAGCCAAGTTTCATATTCTATAATAAGTAGATTCAGACATTACATTTTAAATTAAAATCTTAAGGCATTAAATTTATGACTCTTTTCATTTATATAATCCTCGCTCAACATATTTTTTATCCAACATGGGACTTCACTATTCACATTTGGATACTTATCCCAACATTCCCCCGGTGGAGGCCTCTTTTGAGTATTTAATGGGTTACATCGAGACTTAGCTCTACTCATCAAGACATTGACTCACCAGGACTAAGAGGAGATTTACCATCATATGAGCTACGCTAATTCTCTATCATAAGTGGGTTTAGACGACACATTTCAACCCAAAATATTAAGATGTTGAATTTATGGATTCTTTTGCTTATATGGTTCTCACTGAGCACATCTCTAACTTATGTGAGACTTTACTGTTGACACTTGAATTCTCATCCCAAAACTTAGGACAATGGACTTTATCCATTATATATAAATAAAGAGTTAAATCTCACATGTGTTTTTTTTTTTTTTTTTTTTTTTGAAATCTTAGCCTCCTTGATTGTTATTATGCTCACACACACTATCCCTATTGACTTTTAATATTGTGCACGGTGATTTGCTACAACTTGTGGCGGTGTCCTTCATAGATTCCGCTAGCTTACAAATCCCATATTAATTATGATCCTCTTGGATCGAACACTTTGTTTTCTTAATTTTGGTCATATTGAGAAACATATCCATTGTACACATAAAATATTTTGCAATTTCTACATTAATAATGTTGGAAATCGACAATCACACAGAATCGAGAAAACAGAAAAAGAGATAAGAGTAGAGAGATTGACACGATGATTTACCCTGGTTCACCCAATATAGGCTACGTCCAGCTTGTCTGTACTATATTCACCTCACCGCCACTCGTTACAAGTCTCTCGGTTTACAAGGCAAATATAAATAGGATTACAAGAAACCCTAACATCATCATCATGTGAAGTATGAGCCATACCCAACAAATAATTACAGAAAATTGATCATCTCGTATTTTGTTTTAAGATGACCATATCATGTGTGAAAGATCCAAGTCATTAATTTATATATGAATGGTCAAAATGTTATTGATATTATCACGTTAATTGATAACAATTGATTTATAAATGAATGAAATCTTTCAAATAATATGATTATATTAAAACAAAGGGAAATTATTTTTTATGTAATAGGAGATTGCTTTCTCATGTTGTGAGACATCGAAATTCGTACTATTCTTCTTCTTTTTTTTAACAAGTGGTGAACTCCATCAATTATTGTGTCTATGACATAAGAAATATTACCTCCACTGGCGGACGCACTTGCGGGCAAATGCCCGCAAGTGCAGACATAAACTTTTTCATTTTAGTTTTTTTTTTTTTTGGTTGTAAGTCTTTAATTGTCTCTTGGTTCAATACATATATATATATATATATATATATATATATATATATATATATATTAGGAGTAAATATTCTTTAAAGTTCCTTACAAAAAATATGATTCTCATTTTAGTCCCTTATAAAAAAAGTTAGTCTCGAGGTCCCTAAAAAATTTAAAGTGGATCAATTTAGTTAAAATCGTGGTCCCTCAAAAATTCAAAAAATACCTACATTAATCTCTCAAAAAGATCAAAATGGGTCCACTTTGAATTTCAGGTAACTACTTTTTTTTTAAATGGACTAAAGTGGAGACCAAATTTTTTGGTAGGGACCAAAAAAGATATTTATTCTTATATTAGTTAGCAACGTAGCAACGTACGGAGATGATTAAAACAACGTAGCAATGCAAATTAATTAGAAAGAAAACTTATTCTTCCTCCCATGTCACGTATCCATTCCCGTGCTCTCTTCATCCTTTGTTTCCTTTTTCTTTTTTTATAAAAGGAGAGGATTGATTGCAGGTCTCACATTCTCAAATAAGTTAATATCTAGAGACGAGACCTTCACTGTGATTTAGCTTGCCTTCTGTACAGATAGCGTTGACTTTTTTATTTACCGCTATAAAATAGAATGATAATGTATGGATGTACTGAAATATATTCTCATATTTATTTTGGAGGATTGATAAGATATAGGAGGAAAATAATTGGTCAAACTATTGCCTACAGCTTGTTATAGAAGCAACTAGATTATGAGCGGATTTAAGCATTGATTTAAACTTTCTTTACACACACAAAAATTTCGGGGACAACACTAAATATGCGGACATAAACAAATTTTTTTGGATCCGCCACTACTACCTCATGTGACATGGAAAAGAAGAAGCCATAAAACAAAATAGGAATTATTCCCGAAATTGCAATAGCTGACTTGAGTTAGCAAGGGGAATCAAAATAGCTGGCCACATGGTTCTGTTTTCTGAAATTCCCGTATTGTTCTCACAGAGCCTACAGCTCCAACGCATCATAAACAGTGTTTAGTAAACTATATACACATGTAAGATCCAAGTAGAGACTAGAAAGACGAGTGGTTTTGCATTGAATCACATGGTGGGGCTTCAGGATGTCAAAATAGATGGCCATTTTGGAAGATAGAGACCAATCTTATATATTATTGTCTTAACTATTAGAGTTAACTACTATTGTCCTCCTAAGATGATGCAGTCACATAAACTTGCTGGGGAACCATGGTGGCAGACACTTAACAAGCATTAAATGCATCATTACTTGTTTACCTTTCCAAAACAGCACCATCATCATCCATTGAACCCATCAACCTCTGACTTCTTCATAATATAATAATAAACTTGTAGATATACTTAGGCTTTTATATTTATTATTTAACATAAAAATAGAAATTTTTCTACATATCATTCGATTTCTGTGCTGAGATGATTTCACATATGACTTTTTTTAACATTTAGGTTTCATGTGACTTTTGTCTCTATTACATGGCTCATTTTATGTAATATGAAAAATATAAAACCCATAAGCTTATGGGCTTTGTTTATCTACTGTAGCCGAAGATGACCAAATTTTTCTGCACATAGAAGTAAGCTGGGTCCCACTAGTTTTTGTGAAAAAAATAAATAAA